AGGCTGCCCTGTAGTAAAGCACTGCTGAAGTCAAGAGGGTGAAGCTCGTAGTCACGCTGAGCAGCTACGTGCATTAGAACCCGAAGAGTGGTCATCTTCGGGGTCGGGGAGAAGGTCTCGAAGAAGTCGACTCCCTGTCGCTGACTGAAGCCTCGAGCAACGTAACGCACCTTGAAGACACGCGGAGAACCCGGCGGCCGCTTCACCCTGAAAATCCACATGCCACTGACGATGTTCGCCCCAAGAGGGGGAACCTCGTCGACGAAAGTGCCTGTGGACTTCCATGATGCTATCTCTGCGTCCATAGCTGTCTGCCACTTAGAGGAGTAGGGACCCTCTATCGCCTCTGCGTAAGAGCGCGGGGTCGGGATGTCTGTTGCATCCGGATCTCCCTCAGGAGCAACAAAGATGAGGTACAGCAGCTGCAAAGCACTCAAAGTCCTCCTGCTTGTCCTCAAGGACGTCCGTGCCAAGAGCACACTCACCCCCGACGGACGGAGGACAGACAGACTCAGACTCAGCAACAAGACTAGCGGCGTAGTCCAGACGACAGTGAGCAGCAAAGTCGACAAGCTCACCAACTAAGGAAGACGCAGCAGTGCACTCAAAGGAAGGGTCAGTGACAACAGTGGCCAGAAGACGCGTGACAATAGGACTAGCAGCACGAAGGGAGTCAGACTTCGGGTCAGAAGGGGCAGGAAGAGAGGACGCTGGAGGAGATGGTAGAGGGACTCGCTGTGAAGTAGTGGAAGGGCGCAGAGCCATCCGGTGCGTGCCAGGGATTGGAGGAGGACGCTGACGCGAACCAAGACGACTAGTGCTAGCAGCACGAACAAGCGACGCAGGACGAGACGCAGGCTCACGACGCTCAGAAGGACCTCCGGTCGGACCAGTGTAAGGAGAAGGAGCAGGTAGTGGGGAGGCGGGCTGTAACTGTGACCGCGAATGGACAGGCGGTGGACACCCTAAGGAAGGAGGAGGACCAGTAGAAGGCGAAAGACCAAGAACCTGCTGAAGGAGCAGAACGTAGTACGGCCGCGGCCGTGCAGCGCCTCCAGAACCAGCAGGGACAGAACTAGCACCCCCAGTGGCATCTCCAACTCTAGCAGTTCCACCAGCTCCAGCAGCACCTCCAGCAGCACCAGAAGTGCCAATTCCAGCACCCACAGGAGCACCGGCTACAGCAGCACCTCCAGCTCCAGCACCTCTAGCAGCTCCAGCTCCAGCAGGACCACCAGAAGCTCCAGTAGCGCCAGCAGCTCCAGCTCCAGTGCCTCGAGCAGCACCTGCCCCAACAGCACCGCTAGAGCCAGCACCTCCTGCAGCTCCAGCTTTAGCAGCACCACCAGGCCCAGCAGCTCCAGTACCTCCACTACGAGCACCTCCGGGACCCGTGGCCCCAGAACCCCCTGCAGCTCCAGCAGCAGCAGGACCTCCAGCAGCAGCAGGGCCTCCAGCGCCCGGAGAACCACCTGCTCCGGAAGCACGGCTCCAGCGCCAAGCAAACCACTCGCGCAGCTGCTGTGGAGAGAATGGCTCCCGGCGTGACGAAGCACCCGAAGGACCTCCAGGCTCAGCACTTCCAGACTCTACACGAGTAAGCCCAGCACCCTCAGGCTCAGCACCCCCACACCCAGCACCCGCAGACTCAGTACCCCTTGAAGCACCAGAACCAACAGCTACCTCGACAGCCTTGACTGCGTCTACCTAGGACACATCTGAGGGGGCAGGACCCTGAAGGGGTATGAGGTCTACCGAGGGAGGACCTGGCGCGAAGAAGAGCGGCGGGGGGGGGGAGGGGGGCAGTGCGGTAGGGGAAGAGACGGTAGTAAGGAACCGACTCGTCAAACGTGACGTCCTGAGAGGACAGAACACGGTGCGAAGTGGGGTGGTAAAACTGTCAACTAGGCGCATCAGGGGGGAAGACAAGGAAGACGTAGGGAACAGAACAGGAGGACAGCTTGTCCGCAGACAAGTCGCGGACGAAAGCTTGAGATCAACAGACACGGAATGCAAACGCACTGCCCCACACGTCCATGTGAAGCGTGTGCAGGGGAGCCTCCGTCGGAGGGAACTCGGAGGAGTGAGGAGCGGCGCGCTGCCGCCCCTCGACGCAAGGAACGCAGGTAGGGGCAGGCCCCGGGGGAAGGGGAAGGAGAGACCGGGGAAGACCAGTGAGAAGGACACACGAGGCCATGCCTCGGAGACGAGGCAGGGAGGGGTGACCAAGGCGGTGGTGCCAGAGGAGAGTCTGGTGAGACAGGAGGCGACACGAGCAGGGGGCAGACTCAGGACCTGACCGAGAGGCTGCAGCAAACACCAGCTACCTGACCAGACTCAACAACCGGAGGAGACACGGTAGTCAGAGTGTAGAGACTCGACGCAGGCTGACGGGAGAACGTAGCCAGGTGCCGGCCCGTCCGAGTACACGAACAGTAGGTCACCCGCTGACCTCGAGGAGTGAACTGGTCAACCCACGTATCCTGAAGGTCAGCTCCACTCATCAAGTTCGTGGAGAATGAGGGGAGGTGGAGGCCAGATAGAGAGCCAAACGGGACCGCCGGACACGGCAGAACCGTGGAGGAGTGTGCAAGGACCGGACCCCCAGAGGGGTCAGCCAGAGAGACTGCCACTGGCAGACCGAGCGGCGAGAGTGTGGTGCAGTCGCGAAAGAAGGAGTGGGGAGCACCTAAGTCAAGGTTGAAAGTGTGCAAGGCCGCAGCAGGCGCAGTACCAGAGAGAGCAGACGCACCAGCACCTGGAGCAGTGGACTCACTAGCGCCTAGAGCAGCAGCCTCACCGGCACCTGGAGCAGGAGACGCACCAGCACCTAGAGCAGCAGCCTCACCAACACCTAGAGCAGCAGACTCTATACCTGGGTCAGGCGGCACACACAGGTAACAGGCACCCTCAGCACTAGTAGGCAATGCATACATGGCAATGAGGATAGCATCATAGTCAAGAGCAAAGATATCTACCCTCTGCCTAAGCAGCTCCAGCCAGGAGGGGAGCTTAGCGTCGTCACCAAACTCTGTACGCCAGGTGTCGCTCAGACTGGCGAAGCAACGGGACTGTGTATGACAAACCGTCCCGCAAGGCTGACCAGTCCGAGCACCAGTGCGAATGACGTACGGGCAGCAAGCAGTACTCCGTGACCCTCTACTCTGAGCGTACCACTCACGAAGCTGCTGGGGCGAAAGGATCGCGCACGAACGCTGCTGTAGCTGCTCCTGTTCACTACAAGAAGCTCCCGAACAACCCGCCTCAGGGCGATTCCCACCACGGCCACCCCTACAACCCCAACTAGCGTACCACTCACGAAGCTGCTGGGGCGAAAGGACCGCGTGCGGACGCTGCTGCAGCTGCACCTGGTCACTACAAGAAGCTCTTGAACAACCCACCTTAGGGCGACTCCCACCACGGCCACCCCTACAACCCCAACTAGCGTACCACTCACGAAGCTGCTAGGGCGTGAGGGACTCACGCGGACGTTGCTGGAGCTGCATCTGGCCACCGCCAGGAGCAGCAGTAGTAGTAGTAGCTGTAGCAGCAGCAGTAGCAGCAAAAACAGCAGTAGCAGCACGGGCAGGGCAGTGTGGCTCAGTAGAGCAGGGCTGCACAGCCCGGCAGCACAACACGGCTCGGCTGGGCGACTTGGCGCCGCAAGGTGGCTCGGCTCAGCTGGGTGGCGCGGCTCCGCTGGCAGGCAGGCGCGGCAGGCAGGCTAGTAAGACAGGCGCGCGGGAAGCGCGGGTAGGGCAAGTCGCTCGCCGGGCGAACAGGGTAGGCGCACAACGGCGGCGACTGCGAGGCCGGGATAGCTGCAGGTCGGGGCCGCGACAGCGGCAGGGGGCTCCGCGGCAGCTACTACAGGGCGGGGCCGCGACAGCGGCAGGGGGCTCCGCGGGAGCTGCTGCAGGGCGAGGCCGCGACTGCCTCAGGCGGCTCCGCGGCAGCTGCTGTAGGGTAGGGCCACGACGGCGGCAAGGGGCTCCGCGGCAGCTGCTGCAGGGCGGGGCTCCGAGGTAGCTGCTGCAGGGGGCGCCGCGACGAGCAGGGACGGCGCCCAGGGGGCGCCGCGACGAGCAGGGGCGACGCCCCGGGGGTGCCGCGACAAGCAGGGACGGCGCCGAGGGGGCGCCATGACGAGCAGGGGTGACGCCCCAGGGGCGCCGCGACGAGCAGGGAAGGCGCCCCTGGGGCGCCGCGATGAGCAAGGGTGACGCCCCGGGGGCACCACGACGAGCAGGAACAGCGCCTAGGGGGCGCCGCGACGAGCAGGGGCGACGCCCCAGGGGCGTCGCGACGAGCAGGGACGGCGCCCAGGGGGCGCCGCGACGAGCAGGGGCGACGCCCCAGGGGCGTCGCGACGAGCAGGGACATCGCCCAGGGGGCGCCGGCGACGAGCAGGGGCGACGCCCCGGGGGTGCCGCGACGAGCAGGGACCGCGCCCAGGGGGCACCGCGACGAGCAGGGGGGGGGGGGGGACGCCGCGCGGGTCCCATAGGGGCAGTCGCGACGAGCAGGGTTTAGGGCGGCGCGCGGGCTGCAGAGGTAGCTCCCACGGGCTGCAAAGGCAGGCACGGCTGTAGGGGCAGCGCCCACGGGCTGCAGGGGCAGGCACGGCTGCAAAGGCAGCGCCCACGGGCTGCAGAGGCAGGCACGGCTGCAGGGGCAGGCACAGCTGCTCGGGAGGGCGGCGTGCGGGCTGCAGAGGCAGCTCCCACAGGCTGCAGAGGCAGGCACGGCTGCACGGCTGCAGAGGCAGCACGTGGGCTGCAAGGGCAGCGCGGCTGCAGGGGCAGCTAAAAAAAATAATTCAGTTAGGGCAGGGCGGAACGTTCGGTGGGCCCTAGGAACGATTCTGCTCTAATACCATGTGAGAATAAGAGCGAGGAATAAATGAACTAGCAAGCAGGTGGGTACAAGTATGAAAACCTAAAAGAGTTGTACCCCATACTGTCTACCACTCTGCAGCCTACAATATAGTTCTGACACGTATGCCGGCCTCACCAAGGTGGAGGGGACCAGCGCCGTGTGCGCCGCCGTGCTTAAGACCAAGGGCGCCATTGGTTATGCGTTCACCAGCGGCTGCTCCGTCGTCTACAACCGCCGCAAGCCCAACAACCCGAAGCGCGTGATCGACGTGCTCAAGAACGCCAATGGCGTCGCCGTCGCGCTGCCGTCGTGGGTCCCCGGCGCGGCGCTCGTGGGCGCGCCTCCTTCAGCGGACGGGTCGTGGAGCAACGTGGATTTCATCTGGAAGGGCGGAGCGAAGACCCCTGCGATGGTTTCCATGGATTATGGGTTCATCCGCAAGTCGCTCACTGGCGTGACTGGCGGGAAGATCGCCAAGGCGTTCATGCAGTTCATGATTGTGAAGCTGGCCAAGGGTGGGTATGGGTTCAATGCGGTGCCTGCTGGTGGGAGGAACCCGTCCATTGCTATGGTGAATGCCATTGCTGCGTAGAGTCTTGAGGAGGTTGTGAGCAACACGGCAAGCCAGTGTGTTAAAAGGAAGTTAGTGCTGACGTCAAGGAGAGGGGGTAGCTGTAGACGTTGCATGGTGAGATGAAAGGTTGGTTATAGGATGCTTGTTTACTCAGTGAGGGCGGAGAGATGGAGGGAATTTGTGTCCTAGGTGCAATTAGGGTACATTCCGCTGTGGACACTGTCTCAAAGAAAGTGTCCCAATCGTATTTGTTACTAATTGTGACACAACAAAATCCATGATCGTGACTAATTGCGATACGCCGAAAAGGATGAAAAGAAATATGCAACCACTCATGTTACGACATATGGCAAAGTCGTCACTGTTAATAGTTTAAAGTTTCACAATTAGTGACGAATATGTATCCCGATTAGCCATGAACATTGTTTTCGGCGTATCACAATTAGTCACGAACATTCTGTTCGGAATGTCACAATTAGTCACAAATACGATTGGGACACTTTCTTTGATAGTGTCTACAGCGGAATGTACCCTTAATGATAATGATGGGGAACAAATGCACTCAGTTTCAAAGAGGCAAGAGGCGACACACAACGCAAGATATGCTGTGATCCAAAGCACGCATGTCCAACTTTCCTTTTGGGCCAAGATGGTGAATTTATTTACTTCATGTCAGCCTCTTGTCAGAACATATCTATAGCTTATACTGCTGTGTAGGCTGTAGTGGGGTATCCCATAGGGGGTACAACCCAGTTAGGGTTTCATATTTGTACTGCTTTCATTCATAGTTCATTCATTCCTGTTTTCCTATTTTCACATGGTATAGAGCGGGTCCTACCTTAGGACCGTTGTCTGGGCCCACCGACGCGCGCCCCGAGGCGCGCCCTTTTTTTTAGCGACCCCTCGGGTCGCCTTTTCACTCGCGGCCCCGCCGCCTCCTCTGACGCGGCTTTGCCGCCTCCCCTGACGCGGCCCAGCCGCCTCCCCTGACGCGGCCCCGCCGCCTCCCTTGACGCGGCCTCGCCGCCTCCCCTGACGCGGCCCCGCCGCCTCCCCTGACGCGGCCCTGCCGCCTCCCTTGACGCGGCCCCGCCGCCTCCCTTGACGCGGCCCCGCCGCCTCCCCTGACGCGGCCCCGCCGCCTCCCCTGACGAGGCCCCGCCGCCTCCCCTGACGCGACTCCGTCGCCTCCCCTGACGCGGCCCCGCCGCCTCCATTGACGCGGCCCCGCCGCCTCCCCTGACGCGGCCACGCCGCCTCCTCTGACGCGGCCCCGCCTCTGCTGCCGACGGCCCCGCCGCTGCACTCTACGGCCCGCCGCTGCACCCTGCCGGCCCGTCGCTGCTCCTGCCGGCCCGCCGCTGCACCCTGCCGGCCCGCCGCTGCTCCTGCCGGCCCGCCGCTGCACCTACCGGCCCGCCGCTGCACCCATCGGCCCGCCGCCTCTTACGGCCCGCCACTTGCACCTGCCGGCCCGCCGCTGCACCTGCCGGCCCGACGCTGCACCTGCCGGCCCGACGCTGCATCTCCCGGCCGAGCCGCCCCAGCAGCCGAGCCGCCCGGGACCCGAGCCGCCCTGCCGCCGAGCCGCCCGGGAGCCGAGCCGCCCTGCACCCGAGCCGCCCAGCCGCCGAGCCGCCCGGGAGCCGAGCCGCCCTGCACCCGAGCTGCCCAGCCGCCGAGCCGCCCGGGAGCCGAGCCGCCCTGCGCCCGAGCCGCCCAGCCGCCGAGCCGCCCGGGAGCCGAGCAGCTGTGCACCCGAGCCGCCCGGTCGCTGAGCCGCCTTTCTGCTGACTGCACGACCTGCCCTGCCTGGTGAGCACTGTCCCACTGACACTGCGAGCTCTTTCCCTACTGCTTGCACTGCGTCGCTGTCGTCACCATGGCTACCCCTAGTGTCCTAGCTTTTGACGCTGAGGGTCGCGCCATTGATTTTGAGGTCTGGTTAGACGACCTGCAGCTGTTCTTACAGTGCGACAGGGCTGACGACCTTTCTCTCTTTGACCTCACCTCTGGCGCCTCTCCTGCCCCTGCTGCTGATGCTGATCCCGCTGTCCGCTCTAAGTGGGCCACCCGCGATGCTGCTGCACGTCTTGCTGTGCGTCGCCACCTCCCTACCTCTGAGCGTGCGCACTTTAGTCAGTACAAGAGTGCTCAGACCTTGTACGACGCTGTAGTTGCGCGCTACTCCTCCCCTGCCACTGCTGCACTGAGCCGTCTCATGCTTCCCTACCTCTTTCCTGACCTCTCTGCCTTTCCCACTGTCGCTGACCTCATTACGCACCTCCGCACTAGTGACACTCGCTACCGCGCCGCCCTTCCTGCTGAGTTCTGCGCTAAGAACCCCCCCCCCATGTACATCGCTCTCTACTACGTAGTCGCACGCCTCCCTGACTCCCTTCGCGTCGTCAGGGACCACTTTCTCGCAGTCTGTCCCACCACTCTCACCGTCGACCTCCTCGAGAAGGCCCTCCTTGCAGCGGAGAAGAGCATAGTCGCTGTAGGTGCTTCTCGTGGTGACCCTCGCACCCCCATCTTTGAGGGGTGCTCTCCTTCCCCCTTGCTGCCCTCTGTTGCCTCTGCTGCTGCTGCCGACCTGCTTGGTCTTGAGTCGGTCGGCGCGGCGTCTGCCCCTAGTGGGAGACGTCGCTCCAGCAAGGGCAAGGGGGGCAAGGGCGCGGGTGGAGCTGGAGGGGGCGGTGGCGGTGGCGGCGGTGGCGGCGGAGGGAGTGGGGGTGGCGGCGGGGCTAGTGGCGGGGGTGGTGGTGGTGGTGGCGGCAGCAGCGGCGGAGACGGTGGTGGTGGTGCCAGCGGTGGTGGTGGAGGCAGCGGTGGAGGTGGAGGCGGCGGAGGTGGAGGCAGTGGAGGCGGCAGCGGAGGAGGCAGTAGTGGTGGAGGAGGTGGAGCTGGTCGGGGTGGTACCCAGCAGCGTAGCGGCGGTGGTGGTGGCCAGCGCTCGCACCGGCAGCAGCAGCAGCGCTCGCGGGACATCCCTTCGCCTCAGCAGCTTCGTGAGTGGTACGCTGGGCGTCAGAGGGGTGGGGGTACTGGTCCCTGCACCTACGTTCTTCGTTCCGGCGACCGCGCGGGTGAGCAGTGTGGGGGTGCCCACGCCACCCAGCGCTGCTTTGGCCGCCTGACGGACGCTTGGCGTCAGCAGTTCCCTGGGGCTAGTGAGATCCCTCGCTGGGATGAGCTTCTCAGGGCTGGTGTAGCGATCTTTGATCTTGATTTTGATGCTATCCTTACTGCTATGTATGTTGTGGATTACAGTGAGGAGAATGAGGGTTACCGGTGTTTTCAGCCCGACCCGGGCATTGGTACTGCTGCGCTAGGTGCTTGTGAGGCTGCTGCTCTAGGTGCCAGTGCGTCTGCGCTCTCAGGTACTGGTGAGACTGCGCTCTCAGGTACTGAGTCGTCCTCGTCCTCCCTCACTTTCACACTTGACTCCGGAGCTTCTCGCTCCTTCTTTCGAGACCGCACTACCCTTTCGCCGCTCGCCAGGCCGGTTGCGGTCTCCCTTGCTGACCCCTCTGGGGGTCCTGTCCTGTCTCACTTCTCCACTGTCCTCCCGTGTCCGGCTGCCCCTTCGGGCACCCTGTCGGGTCTGTACCTTCCCTCGTTCTCTACGAACTTGGTGAGTGGAGCGGACCTGCAGGATGGGGGTGTTCACCAGTTCACTCCTGCGCGTCAGAGGGTGACCCACTGCACGGAGGCTCGCACAGGCCGACACCTGGCCACGTTCTCACGTCGGCCGGGGTCGAGTCTCTACACCCTGACCGTTGAGTCTCCTCCTGTCCCTGCGTCTGGTCAGGTGGCTGCGTCGGGTCAGGTACTTGGTGCTGCGTCCCGGTCAGGTCCTGAGTCTGCCCCCTGTTCTTGTCGCCTCCTGTCTCACGAGACTCTCCTGTGGCACCACCGTCTTGGCCACCCCTCCTTGCCCCGTCTTCGGAGCATGGCTTCCCATGTCCTTGTCTCTGGTCTTCCCCAGTCTCTCCCTCCTCTCCCCTCCGGGCCAGGACCTTCCTGTGTCCCCTGTGTCGAGGGTCGCCTCCGGGCTACTCCTCACTCCTCCCACTTCCCCCCGACAGAGGCTCCCCTGCAGACGCTTCACATGGATGTGTGGGGCCCAGCCCCCGTCCGTGGGCAGGGTTACGAGCGCTACTTCCTGTTGGTGGTTGACGACTACTCGCGTTACACCACAGTCCTCCCCTTGCGCAGCAAGGGTGCGGCCACTGAGGTGCTGATCGACTGGATCCGCGAGGCTCGTCTCCAGCTCAGGAAGAGCTTCGGCTCGGACTTTCCTGTTCTGCGTCTGCACTCGGACAGAGGCGGAGAGTTCTCTTCTCGCCTTCTGCGAGACTACTGTCGTGCACAAGGGATCCGCCAGACCTTCACGCTTCCGGACTCACCACAGCAAAATGGGATTGCTGAGCGCCGCATTGGCATGGTCATGGATGTCGCTCGTACGTCCATGATGCATGCGGCTGCCCCCCATTTTCTGTGGCCGTTTGCGGTGAGGTACGCGGCGCATCAGCTCAACCTTCACCCCCGGGTCTCTCGGCTTGCGATGTCCCCAGCCTTGCTGTGGACGGGGAAGGTTGGCGATGCGTCTGTGTTCCGTGTCTGGGGATCTCGGGCGTTTGTCCGCGACTTGTCTGCGGACAAGCTGTCCCCTCGTGCTGCTCCCTGTGTCTTCCTTGGCTTCCCCACTGACGCCCCAGGGTGGCAGTTTTACCACCCCTCCTCTCGTCGTGTTCTGTCCTCCCAGGACGTCACGTTCGACGAGTCAGTCCCCTTCTACCGTCTCTTCCCCTACCGCACTCCTTCCCTCCCCCCTCCCCCGGACTTCCTTGTGCCGGTTCCCCCCCCGGTAGACCCCCTCCCCCCTCAGGTTCCTGCCCCCTCAGGTGTGTCCCAGGTAGACGCCGTTGACCCGGTCGAGGTTACTGGTGACTCTGGTGCTGCTGCGGGTGCTGAGCCTGGGGGTGCTGACTCTGGGGGTGCTGTGCGCGGGG